ATTCTACTGAAACCAAATTTAAGAATATAAACATACGGATACTCATACGCAAAATCTGCACATACATATAATCCCAAAATGCTGTTTTAGAAGGCAGGTTGAGGATGATTTTTTTTCCCCTTCCTTGTATTTTCAGGATTTATCTATAATAAATACATATTGCTTGTTAACTATAAAATCAACTTAAGTTACATTTTAAAAATTTGCTTTCTTTTCCATAATCTTTTATATTTTAAATTATATCATGTATGGGTATTTGTTAGTAAAATAACAGAAACATGTTAAAGGTAAAATAAAAGTTAGAAAATATAGCTGAAATATATTTGATAAACAATAGGAAAAAGTCCACTACATAAGAATCTTTTAGGAGCATGTCAAAATTTTAAACATGGTTATTTCTAGCAAATAGGACTATAGGAGACTATGTAACATATATTTTTGTTGCTTTTTACAAACATATGTAATAACACTATTTTAAATAAATTACTCTAAGATATTAACAAGAAATAGATTAAAACTCCAAGCAAAACAGGCAAATAAGCAACCAAAAAAGAAAAAGAGATCATTTTATAATATAATTTTCAAACTTGCTAATGCTGAAGTAAATTAAAATGATATATTATTAATTGTATAAGAATCTGACAACGATGGAAGAGGCAGGAGCGACCTGGTGCCTTTATTCACTACTATACAAAAATTGGCAGAAACTTTCTAAAGAGCAAAGTAGGAAAAACATCTTTCAATTTTCCACTTCTTCATGACTACAATTTAAAATTTATCCTAAGGACCAATCAGAATTAGGTTTAAACATTAATGGGTAATATAGTTCATAACAGTTGTACTTATAATAGTGGCTAAAAAATTATAAGCCACTGCCAGGTGCGGTGGTGCACGCCTGTGATCCCAGTAACTCGGGAGGTTGAGACAGGAGGATCATAAGTTCAAGGCCAGCTTCAACAACTTAGTGAGACCCTGCCTCAGAAGAAAACATTAAAAAAGGGTTGGGGATATAGCTCAGTAGTAAAGTACAGATGGGTCCAATCCCCTATACAAAAAAAAGATTAATTTAAAAAACAATTAAATATAATTGTTTATAATTAAATATATAATTTTTAAAAAATTTAAAAATACGTGTGTGTGTGTGTGTGTGTGTGTATACAATAAAGGTATTGTGTCCATCCACAACTAAAAAAACATAGATTAAAAAAACAGATCTTGGGCTGGGGATAGAGCTCAGTTGATAGAGTGCTTGCCTCACATGTACAAGCCCTGAGTTCAATTCCCAGCACCATAAAAATATATAGCACATCCTAAATATTTTTATTAATGCTTAAAACAACGTGCATTTACATTTGAATTACCGGGAAGAAATGCAATGCTGTCAGTGACTCTGAGTGATGAAGCTATGGGTCACTTTTAGCCTCTCTTTTATTTTTTGTGTTTCCAAAGTGTTTTTCAATTAAAAGTAAAACAAAACATTATTTTGAAACCTTCCACAGCCATTGTCACAGATCTGTACTCCCATGGCCGATGACAAAGCACTCCTCTATCTGACTCTGCAGAGGGTGGTTCTCCTCGCTTAGGAAAGTCCATGGCCGTGGGCGGAATGCAACCTGTCCCCTGCCCTGCCTTCGTCCCACTCTGCTCCAGCAGGATCCACGGCCTGCACACTCTGTAGCCACCTGCCAGGGCAGCGTGGTCCTCTGGAAGCCACCCACATCCACCATGCCTCTCCCACACCTAAGGCGAGTGTGCCAAAAACACCTCTGACTCATCAGGAACCTGAACAACAAACACACTCCCTGGAATGTCCAGGCAATTAAGCACAAATGTCATTAAAGAGAATCACTATTAAATAAACGCAGTGAGTGACACACAGCAGCCACATGGCAGAACAAGGCCTTCCTCAAGCAACTTCCTGATTTGACAGCAGCATGTGTCACGAGGTCTATGATATCTAAAAATTGATGATGGTTTTAACACAGGCGGAAAACAGCTAGGAAAATGCACCATCCCATGCATCATCCCCCCAAATGGGAATGAGGAGTGAGTGCTTTTCTCTCAGCCACCAGGAGAGCCCTTTTCCACACAGCTACCTGTAGTCCTAACACAGCTCCGCTGTCACGACAAACTTGTTGTTGCCCCTTCAGAAGCCCCTACAACCTAAGTGTCCCCTCAAACTTACTTTTGAGGTTGAACTGTCTAAGGTTTCGTGACTCGAAATGAAGAGAACACTGTCCTCCCAGGGAAGCCTGTTGCCAGCTCCTGCCACCTGTGTCTACCTGCCTCTTTCACATGCTAAGCCACAGCAGAAGGTCCATCAGTTCCCAGAGCTGAGAAAGCACTAGACAATACCTGGGATACTAGACAAGTATATTAAAGCCACTTCCCTAAGGGCAGTTTCCGTGGACAACCTTCCATATGTGTTGGAATCCTCCCCTTTCTGCACAGTCCCCTGCAAAAGAAACAAACCCAGGCCCCAGAAGCTGCAAAACAGCAAGTAAAGACAAGTCGGAGAAGGGAGGAAGGAATGCCTACGTAGGTGGGGGAGCAGTGCCACCTCCAACCCCTTGGCAAAGTGGGCAGTGGTGTCGTAGAACTCCAGCAGTTTGGTGAGCTCCAGCTCGGGTCCCGCTCTCTCCACGCCAGCGCTGAGGCAGATAGGCAGGGAGGGCACCAAGGCCCCCAGGGTCTGGATCAGCAGCACTGTCACAACCTCATGAGGGTTCTTGAAAACCTGCAGTGGGAAACAGGCAGCTGTGTCAGCTCACGCCACCAACAGGACAGAGTTCTTAAAGAAGCTGTTTTCTGGATCACTCGAAGAAATCCCCTTAATAGGTAAAAAGTGACTAGTCAAGAGCTACAAGCCCAAAGGTCCCCTCATTGCAGAGTGAACGTGCTCAGAAAGCACAGCAAATCTGCAGGACCTGGAAGGCGTCCAGAATGATGGGACAATGTCCTGTCCTGTCTACTGCTGCCCACCCCCCCAGTGCCTTCCTATTTACAAATTTACTAAATGCTTTCCTGCGGTGTTTAGATGGTACCAGAAACTGACTGGAGGGAGGGCTATGAAGGTGCCAAAGGAGAAATGGCTTTGGGGCAGGGGTGGGGGCACCAGTGAAAGAAAAGCAATCCACTGAATCACAACTGGAAGGATCTTTATGCAGATTCAGTCTGGCTGCAGCCTCTCCTTGACACTGATCTTGATGGATTCTCTTAAGGACCACAAGGAAGAGTGTACCTAGACCCGTTAAAATTATTCATTGATAGTCTTTTCTCTCTCATTATATGTACTTTAGATTTCTTGGGAAATTTTTGAATAATGTACATAGTTCACTTAGAAGGGGGTTCTCTCTATACCACAGGGCTGGTTAAGTACTTTTTTGTTAAAACATAACCTAGATATATACAAACATGAGATGATACAAGAACTTTTTTTTAGGAAAATCCAAGGCCAAAAAAAGTACAAATTTAAAACTATAAACCCAAAAGAATTCCAAATTTCACTACAAAATACTCTGAGATAAATGAAAATGAAAAGAACAAAACAAAACTTACAGGATGCAGCAAAAGCAATACTAAGAGGCCTGCAGAGCTGCAGGTGTGTATGATTAGAAAAAGAAAAATCTCACATGCATGACCTAAGCGCTCACATTAAAGAACTAGGGGGGAAAAGATCAAATTAAACCCAAGGTTAGCAGAAGAAAATAATATGGATTAAAGTAGAGATAAATAAGAGGATAGAAAATCAACAAAAGTAAAGTCTATTACACCAGAAATTGCAAGGTGTTTTTGCAAAAATTAAAAAAAAAAACTGCTTTTACCTGGACTGATTAAGAAAAAAAGAGAAAGAACTTAAATTACTAAAATCAGATATAAAATTAAGGCATTGTACCAATTTTACAGAAATAAAAAAGATTATAAGGGAATTCTGTGAACAACTGTATGCCAACAAACTGAATGAAATGGACATATTCCTAGAACACAACCCACCAAAACTGGCTCAGGAAGAGAGAACTGGAATCCTCCTCTACCTATAGTAAGGACATTGAATCAATAATCAAAACCTCCCCTCAAAAAAACATCAGAATCAGGAGCTGGGGATGTGGCTCAAGCGGTAGCGCGCTTGCCTGGCATGCGTGCGGCCCGGGTTCGATCCTCAGCACCAAGTACAAACAGAGATGTTGTGTCCGCCCAAAACTTAAAAAATAAATAAATAAATATTAAAAATTCTCTCTCTCTCTCTCTTTAAAAAAAAAAAGATCAGAGATGACTTCACTGGTGACTTCTACAAAATATACAAGAAGAATTAAGGCCAACCCTTCTAAAACACTTGGAATAAAACTGAAGAAGAGAGAATATGCTATGGTCTGAACTGTGTTCCCCTGAAATTTGTACGTGAAGTCCCAATCCCAATACCTTGAATGTGACTATATTTGCAGCAAGACCTTTAAAAAGGTAGCAAAGGGGAGCTGGGGTTGTGGCTCAGTGGTACAGTGCTCACCTAGCACATGTGAGGCACTGAGTTCAAACCTCAGCACCACATAAAAATGAAATCAAGATATTATGTTCACCCACAACTAAAAAAAAACATTAAAAAACAAAGGTAGGGCTGGGGATGTGGCTCAAGCAGTAGCACGCTCGCCTGGCATGCGTGCGGCCCGGGTTCGATCCTCAGCACCACATACAAAGAAAGATGTTGTGTCCGCCCAAAACTGAAAAATAAATAAATAAATATTTATCTCTCTCTCTTAAAAAAAAAAAAAGTTAGCAAAGGTACTATGATGTAATCTGGGTGAGCTCTAATCCCCTATGACTGGTGTTCTGATTCAAAGAAAAGATCAGGACAACAAACACATATGGAGTAAGGACACAGGGAGAAAATGGCCTTCTGCAAGTCTGCAAGGAGACTTCTGAAGAAGCAATCCTTATCTTGGACTCCAAGACTTTAAGAATTTTGAGGAGATTAATTTCTGTTGCTTAAACTTGCCAGTCCAAGATACTCCCTTACAACTAACACAGAACACTTCCTAACTCATTCTGTGTGGTCAGCATCACCCCAATATGAAAAGCAGATAGAAACTGTTGGGAAAACATATAATGGCAGCAGCACTCCAGAGAAAAACCCCAACATGGTGCCTAACAACCCTCTTTCTCCTCTTTTTTCTTTCACTGGCGCGAAACGTTCCCGCCGGCGCCAATGTTCAAATCCTGCGGGTGGGAAACCTTAGCCCCAATAAGAATTAACTTCTTGGGCTCCGGAACTGACATATGGAAGAGCTTGCCAATAAACGGGTGACCTCAGCCCTGCTACCTCTCCTTAGACCTATATAAACCCACAGCCTTTTGTAATAAAGCGGAACCTCTCCGGTGATCTGTGTCATGTGGTGTCTCCCATTCGTAGTGTGGTGCGGCGTCTTACAGAAACACTGCAAGAAAACCACAGACCAATATCCCTTGTAAATGTATAAGCAAAAATCCTCAACAAAGTACTAGAAACTGAGTTCAGCAGCACACTAAAAGGAGTAAGCACCGTCGTGAAGTGAGATTTACTCCTGGAATGCAAGAACAGTTCAATGTAAAAAATTAATCAATTTAATATATCATGCCAACAGAATGAGGGGAAAATACATATGACCACCTCAATTAATGCAGAAAATCCATTTAACAAAATACCCTTTCATGACAAAACATACAACAAACTAGGGATAGAAGGAAACTTCTTCCAGATGCTAGGGCCATAGGTGAAAACCCAGCTCACATCAGACTCAATGGTGAAAGACTGAACGCTTTTCCTTCTAAGTTCAGGAACAAGTCAAAGAAGCCTACTTTTGCCACTCTATCCAACATAGTACCGGAAATTCTCGCCAGAGCAACTGGAAAAGAACAAGAACAAGAAATAAAAGGAGTCCAAATTGAAAACAGAGTGATCTCTGTTTACAGATGACATGGTTTTATGTGTAGAAAATCCAAAATAATCCACAAAATACTGTTAAGAGTTAAAATTCAGCTATGTTGCAGGTAATAATATCAACACACAAAATCAGTTGTCTGTCAACACACTAACAATGAACAATCTGAAAAGGAAATTAATAAAACAAGTCCATCTGCAATAGCATCAAAAAGAACCAAGTATTTAGGAATAAACTTAACCAAAAAGCTGAACAACTATACACTGAAAACTACAAAACAGCAAGAAATGAAAGAAGACAAATATGTGAAGACATCCATGTTCATGAATCTGAAGACCTAGTGTTCTTAAGATGTCAACACAACCAAAGTCACCTTCAGATGGAATGCAAGCACTGATCAAAACACCAATAGTATTTTTTTTTTTTGAGGAATAGAAAAATCCATTCAAAAATTCATTTGAATGCATGGGTTTGGATTTATGTAGGCTTGTCCCTGGGCCTCTCATAGTGTCCCATGCCAGGGCAAACTATGCCCCCAAACCGTTGCCTGGCCTCTGTGTCTACAGGCTGCTGGCACTGAAGTGGGTCGCACAGTGCATAAAGGAACAGCAACAAAGACAACTCATCTGGAAGCTCAAGGTACCCCAAGTAATCAAAATCGTCTTGAAAAAGGAGAGCAAAGCTGAAAGACTCGCCCTGTTTAGTTTCATGAAGAAAGGGGAATATTATGGTCTGAACTGTGTCCCCCTAAAATTTATAAGTAAAGTCCTAATCCCAATACCTCAGGTGTGGCTGAAAACTTTTTCAAAAGTATAATGATAGCATAAGGACAGACACAGACCAGTGGACTAGAACAGAAAGCCCAGAAGCAGACCCAGACATCTAAGGCCAATTGATTTAAACCTGGGTGCCAAGGCCATTTCATAGGAAAAGCACAATCATGGCAACAAACGGTTCTCAGAAAACTGGATGTCCGCATGCAAAAGAACAAGGCAGGCCCCGGATCTTACACTGTGTAAAAAGTTAACCTGAGAAGGATTAAAGATCCTTAGCAACTGGTTATAGGATGGCCATGCACATGGTCCAAAATATGTATATATTTTTTTAATTCTCAGAGAATTTACAAAACTGCAAAGAACATTTGTTTCCCTTGATACATCCTACATTAGACTCCACATAGTGCCACCCTGCTAGAGTCTGGGACAAAGAAATAGGGGGGAAGAAACAATCAAATCCAATAAATTATAAAATGACCAACTTGTGGCAGATGCTCCAATCTATATTTCCTGAGCCAGTCATCCAGCCATCTACTGGAAGTCACGGTTAGACTGACACTTGGGAACTTAAAAGCACCCATAATTAGAATCCATCATGTCCCCACTGAACTCCACAGGTGTTCCCTTCAACTTCCTACTTCGGTCAATAATGTCTCCACTCACCAGGATGAAAATCTCCCTTCTGACTTTCCTTTCTTTGAATCCCTTTATTGGTTACTAACAATTGTTTCAACGATTGTTCCTTCATCAACTTGAACAGCACCACATCATCCCTACCAGGCAAAGGCTGTCTGTCTCCCAACTCTCCTTAGTAATTCACCCTATGTATCACCACCAAATTCTTTTTTTGTGGAGTGGGGGTAGGGGTGGGGGGCAGTACCAGGGATTAAACTCAGGGGCACTGAGCCCCACCCCCAGCCCTATCTGGTATTTTATTTAGAGACAGGGTCTCACTGAGCTGCTTAGTGCCTCACTTTTGCTGAGGCTGACTTTGAACTCACGATCCTCCTGACTCAGGCTCCTGAGCCACTGGGATTATAGGCGTGCTCCACCACGCCCAGGTCCACCAAATTCTTTATTTTAAATTTACTTCAAAAGTTCTCTTATATTTCGTATTTTTAAATATTGCGAGACTTGCCCATTATTCATAGTTTGGTATTGTTACTCTTTTTATTGTAGCCGTCTGGTGGGTGTGTGCAGCATTATCCCACTGTCGTTTTAATTTGCATTTCCCTGATGACTAAGGGCACTGAGCACCTACTTGTGGGCTTACTGACCATTCATATCTCTTCCTTTGTGAAGTGTCTGTTCAAGTTTTTTGCCCATTTAAAAAACTGGGTTGTTTGCCTTTTTGTTTTTTAATTGTAGGAGTACTTTATATATTCTGGATATAAGTCTTTGTCAGATATGTTTGTAGATGTTTTCTTCCAGTCTATGACTTAAGCAGAGGTTCTAATTTTGATGAAACTTAATTCATCAGGTTTGGTTTGTTCTGGTCTGGTTTTTGCAGTGCTGGGGATCCAACCCAGGGCCTCACACATGCTACGCAAATGCCCTACCACTTAGCTACACCTCCAGCCCAGTTTTTCCATGTCTAGTTACTATTTTCTACAGCTAAGGGTCATCACTGAGCCCCCAAGTTCTAAGTCTGTAAACTTCTGTTGTTCTTTCGAAATGGCCACAGAATCTTTTTTGTCCAGTTACTTTAAAAAAGGGGAAACCTCTAAACACAAGGGGTTTAGGGGTCTTAATTGAAACATGCATTTTAAAAAAATGCCACTAGAGGTCTAGAACATGACTTCACATATCGACCAACCAATGAGAACTCTCTGGAATACAACCATAGTCTAACTTCACCCCCACCCCCAAGTCATTTAAGTAAGACCAGACTTATCAACTTGGGCCACAGAAAGATAGTCCAGCCCTGCCTTCACTACACACAAAAGCTAATTCAGGATGGACCACGGATCTAAATGTTAAAAGCTAAACAAACTCGTAGAAGAAAACATGGAAGAATATCCTTGAAACTTGAGGACTAGCAATGACTTCTTAGGATACAGAAAGCAACAACCATAAAAGAAAAAACAAAATGATAGGCTTCATCAAAATCGAAACTCCTACTCAGAGCTAGGATGTAGTTCGGTGATGGAGTGCTTGCTCAGTGCCTGCCCAGAACCTGCAAGGGCCTGAGTTTGATCCCCAGCATTGCAAAAAAAGTTTAAAAATTAAAAATAAAACCTCTGTTCGAGCCACAGACTGGAAGAAAATGTGCAAATGTCTACAAACATATCTGACAAAGGACTTGTGCCCAAAATATATAAAGAACTCCTACAACTAAATAATAAAAAGGCAAACAACCCAATGTTTCACATGGGCAAAGGACCTGAATAGACACTTCACAAAGGAAGACATCCAAATGGCCATGAAGCACAAGAATAGGTGCTTAGTGCCCTTAGTCATCAGGGAAATGCAAATTAAAACCACAATGGGACACTACTGCACACCCATCAGAATGGCTAAAATTAAGAAGACAGACAACACCCCATGTTAGCAAGCACAGGAAGCAATCAGAACTCTCACACTGTGTGGGAGTGCAATAAGGACAAGTATTTTAGAAAAAGGCCTGGCAGTTTCCTATAAATCCAAATATACACCTGCCCTATGATCTCAGAATTCCACTCCTAGGTGTTTACTCAGGAGATATGAAGACATGTGTCTTAAAAAAAAAACACTTATAGAACAATGTTCATAGCAGCTTTATTCATAGTAGTCCCAAACTAGAATGAGATCAAGTAGATCAAGTGTCCATCAATAAGAAAATGTGCAAACAAAACGATGTCTCAGTGGTAGAGCTCTTGCCTAGCATGTGTGAGGCACTGGGTTCAATTCTCAGCACTGCATATAAATAAATGAATAAAATAAAGGTTCATCAACATCTCAAAAAAATTTTTTTAAATGATGTCTATTCACATCATGTAACAGAATGTAACAGAATTCAGCAATAAAAGGGAACAAACTAGCAATACATACAAATGAGTAAGTCTCAAAAACCCACCAGATGAAAGAAACCTTGCCACAACAACAAAGATGCTTTGCCACAGGGTGTTTTCCATCTGCGGGAAATCCCACAGCAGGCTAAATTAATTTATATGGGGGGAACATGAGAGCAATAGCTGCCCGGGAAGAAGTATGAGAGAACTTTCTAGGTGGATGGTAATGATTCGTGTCTAGAAAGAGGATAAGGTCTCATCTATTTGCATTTGTTTGAACTAATCAAATGATATATTTAAGATCACTGCATTTCATAATTTTACTTCGAAAAAACACAAATACTTGAACTCTAGTTAATAATACACATGTGTACATATACATATACGTGTTCTTAAATGAATGTTATATCCCAACTTATTTTGAAATGAATCAAAAAATATTTGATGAGTAGACAGACGACGGATAGAAGGATAAATCTGTGACAAAGCAAACAGCAAAATGTTCACTGTCCAGCTGTGAGGTAGGTACACAGGTATTCACTGTAGAATTATTTCAGCCTTTTTATGTGTTGGGTATTTTTCATACTAAAATACTGGGGGAGGGCCAGGGGTGCAGTTCAGTTAGAGCACCTGCTTAGTATGTGCAAGGCCCTCAGTTTGATCCCCAGCAACAGGCGGGAAAAGGTTCATTTAAAACCTAGGGAAACAGAAATGTGGAGGAGACACACCTACAGACCCTGCGGCCTTGGCCTCACCTGCACTCTCCTGAGCTTCTGGAGATGAAAGCCCACCTCACATGCTCACATCCCGTAAAGAAAACGGGCCACAGGCCAAAGGTATAAATAAGCATAAACTTATGCCTTCAAAACTAACAGTGAGGACGAAGCAGAAGTCTGAGAAGCCCCAGTTCTTTCTCCTAGATGATTCACAGACGAGGAAGGGCATTTGTATGTACAGGCACGAGCCGTTTTTCTCCTGTGGTTTGAGAAGTGGTAGAAGAGGCCCGGACGGTAAACGGGTGTGAGCAGACAGACCTGCTGAAAACTCGTGATCACACAAAAACCACTGAGGTTCTTTTTCTCCTCAAAAAAACAAGCAAACAAAACCTGCCTAAGTTTGAATTAGGTTAGTTCAAGGAAGAAGAAGCCAGGATGGAGAAAAGGGCTTTAGCCATCCTCAACACCATGACCCTGTGCAGGGAATCTCTCCAGTACATTTGAGTTTATTCCACCAAATGACTGATGAACATCTAAAGAGCAATCCACAACTAATGACGAGAAAAATAATAAGCCACACCACCAATAAGCCCAGTCCGTCATCACCCCAAGTACTCAGGCTGCTCCCCTTCTAGAAGAGGGTCTGCTGCCCTCCTGGCCTGCGGACGAAGCAGTGACGCTCCATTCCCCTCCGTCTGGAAACGCCTAGAGACCTGGCGAGGGTAAGTGATGGGAAGCTTCCTCCTGAACCCTCTGTTTCATTGCCCCTGCTCAGAGGGTACCTTCAACACTATACTCTTCCTCTAACTCTTGATGTCTTGTGAGAGAAGGGAAAGTAACTGCAGGCCAGGTAAGCTTTACCTGAGGTTAAGATATAAACAGCCTGTTCACTCCACCACCGCCTGACTAGGGGCCTCCTGCTTTCAGATGTGAAGATAACGGCTTCCAGGAATTCCAAAGGCTCCCTAGCTGAACCACAGGCAACACTGTCACATTAGATTCCACTTAAGATACAGATAAGAGTGATAAGAAGAGCTTTAATGGAAACCTAAGGACTTCACTGCCCTGGGTTTCCAAGCCTATCTTTTAACCCCTTGGGTGATGGTGACAGATGGGGACATTTCCCGTGGGGCTCTGCAGCTGAGAGCAGGTGCTCCCAGCCAGTTACCCATTCCCCTAAAACCAAGTAAGCTGTTACCTGCGTGGCCCACTGGATTTGCGTGTGCCAAGCAGCGAGCAAGGCGTCATAGAGGCCGGTGAGCTGGCGGTCCAGGGGCAGGTCACTCTGGCACAGCTCTTGCCAGGCTGCCAAAAGCTGCACCTGCAGAGGCACAACAGAGAGGACCTTGCTGGGTGCACTAAATAAGCTGCCTGCTCCAACTGCCCTTCCCTTCCACCACCCCAGTGAGCACTGCTGCCTGCTGTCCCGAGCCAAGTGCCCACTGAATCCATTCTTTTTTTTTTCCTAAAAAGGCAGAAAACAAACAAAAACAGTAATCTCTTCTAATAATCATCCAAACTTGAATCTGTCACCTCCAAGTACCTCTCTCCTTTTACCCTGCCCCAAAGACATGCCAGGGTGCTCCACCCAGTGCGCTGCGCTCTTCAGAAGAGACCTTAGAGGTGGCTATGAGTTGGTGCTAAAGCTTCATGTCCTCTCCTTACTGCTTCAAGGACACAGGGGCTTGAACGACTGGGCTTCAAGGAATGGAGGTCAGCCCAGGAAGCTGCTGAGTGTTTTGGTAACCTAACTTCAACAACCACACAAAACTTAAAAAAGTCTTACAGTTTGCTGAAAGGCACAATAAAGCTTAAGACATGAATCTCCCTTAAGATACAAAAATGGGAATAAATTAAAACAATTTTTCAAGTCTGTTTGAATCCATCTAAATGAATCCAGCTGTAAATACAAAAGAGGATGAAAACTGATGAAATGTTTTCCAACTGGCAATTAGATGTGTCCATACGCTGGACCAAGAGTGCCCCCTACTGGTTAATGGAAAGAAAAACAGCCCTCAAGTCTAAAACTTGCTGTTGCCAGAGCTATGAGCACTCCACAATTGTAATGGTTTGCAGCTTCTTACCTTGTGACACTTGTAATAGTATGCAAGGAGCTGGGGCATCCGGTCAATTTCAGTAAAAATCTTCACAAACATTTTGGACTGATCTAAAGAACAACATAAAACACATATAAGACTGTTACGAGGTTTTCTGATATAGCCAAGAGAAATAATTCACTAGGTTAAATGTGGTTCTAGGGCTGGGGTTATAGTTCAGTGGTTGAGCGCCCGCCTAGCACGTGTGAGGCACTGGGTTTGATCCTCAACACCACATAAAAATAGAATAAATAAAATAAAAGTATTTTTAAAATGTGGCTTTATAACTAGTATTCAGAAGTTCCTAACTAGATAATGAATTAACTCATGCATGGGGATCATAAATATGAAAAATAAGTAATGTTAGGAGCAGAGTATGTTACCCAATAATCAGACACCACAAGCTCTGCTTGTTAAAGTCAACAAGCATCCCTGACAAGCATCACTAATAGAGCTGACATTATACATCAGCAAATCAATCAGCACATCTGAACAGTAAACTGAACTAGAATCAGGGTTGGCACCGGGCTGGGGGGCAAGCCTGGGGTATGAAATTTAAAGAAGCTATCACTCTCGGGGTTGTGCAAGCACACAACCACTTGCCTCACCTAGTCCTGGCCCTGATTTGAATCACAAACTGTTAGCGACAAGTACCTAAAATAACTGATAATTGACCTCATTTTGTAGGCAAGAAAACTGCAGCCCAGAGAGTTTTAGTGACTTGCAGGACTGCAAACTACAGCAGAGGTTGAAGTGCTGGCGTCCAATGTTCTGGCCTACAAAAGCAGCGATTTCATCTGACGTGTCAATCCAGTATTTATATGAACTGAAAAACATTGGGGAAGCAGGCCATCTGTCAGGTGCCAAGAACAAACCTAGCCCTTAACTGCCTCAGGGTCTCTGTACTTACTGTATCTAAGACGATCTTCTGGTTTCTCCTCAGCCAACCTAGACTAGGTTCCTCCTGAGTCCTGTCATGCCTTCCCTTCACAGAAATAATCTCAGTCTACACTTGTTTTATTTATTACTTACATAATATCTGTCTTTATCATCCACGAACACAAGCTCCAAGGAAAGCTGTAACATTTCCTATCTTGTTTCACTGTCCCCAGAAATTAGCACCACACACAGTAGACACTCAATAACTACACTAAGTTGAAGACTGTTGAAATAGCATTGTTTTTCAGCATTATCAGTAACATGTTCATGGAAGAAAAAGTGGAAAACAGAATAAGAAGAAAAATCTACTGATAATACCATCACACTCTGACATACTAACGTTTAGATGGACATTTAAACAACACTTTTAGGAAGCAACTGCTACAATGTGTGCCTTGTCTCAAGGTATAATCACAACTTTCAAAACATCTACCCTATAGAGTAGAATTTCTTTAAATGAATAATAAAGCAGAATTTGCCAAAACAGCAAATGGCACGTGCAGAAGTTATATCAAGATAGAGAAGATCAAATAGGAAACAGGAATTGAACCACAATCTAAACCAATTAGACCCGACAATCACAAACAGCAAAATATGTTCTTCCCAGTAAACAGGGAATATTCTCCAGGACAGACCATAAGTTAGACCATAAAATAAGTGCTAATAAATTTTAAAAGGTGGAAACCATGGAAATCATACAGCATCTTTTCTCATCACAACAGAAATAAATTAGAGATCAACAGTAGAGAGAGAATTAGAAAATTAAAAATATGTGAAAATTAAACAATAAGCTTTTAAACAGCAATTAGGTTAAAGAAGAAATTCTGAGGAAAATTAGAAAATGCTTGTAGACAGATGGAAATGAAAACACAATATACCAAATTTATGGGATGCAGTGAAAGCAACTACGCAAAGTAATTCATAGCTATAAACACACCCAAAAAGACCTCAGCTGGGATGTAGCTCAATGGTAAAGCACTTGCCCAGCACGCACAGGCCCTGGGTTCCACTCCCAGCACCACAAAATAATAACAAAAATGATAATGATAACAACAACAACCTAACTCTAAATCTTAAGAAGAAACAAGATAAACTAAAACCAAAGACAGCAAAAGGAAAGAAATAATAAAGATTAAAGCAGAAATAAATAAAATAGAGAATAAGAAACTAAAGAGAAAAATCAATGATTCTTTGAAAAGGAATCTTTGACAAATCTTTACTTAGATTCACTATGAAAAAGAGAAAGGACTTAAGACAACTAAAACCAGAAGTGAAAGAGAAAGCATTACTACCATTGCCACAGAAATAAAAAGGATCACACTGAGTACTTTGAATAATTATATATCAACACACTGAATAACCTAGATAAAATGGATGATTCTTTAAAAAATGAACTTTATAGAAATAGAAAAACTCTGTATAGACTTACAACTAATAAGAAGATTGAATCAGTGATCAGAAATCTCTTGAAAACAAAAAACTCAGGACTGGATGGTTTTCTAGGTGAATTCTTTTATACATTTAAAGAAGAATTAACACCAATTTTTTCAAGTTCTTCCAAAAAAATTACAGAGGAAGGAACACTTCGTAATTTATTTTGAGACTAGCACTACCATGATGCCAAAAATAGACAAAGAACTACAAGAAAACTATAGACCAATATCCCTGATAAATATTGACACAAAAATTCTCAATGAAATCCTGATAAACTAAATACAACATTAAAAGGATTATACAGGGCTGTGGTTGTAGCTCAGTGGGCTAGGGTTGGAGCTCAGTGGTTGAGTGCTTGCCTCACATGTGTGAGGCACTGGGCTCAATCCTAAGCACCACATAAAAAAAATAAATAAATGAAACAGAGATATTGTGTCCATCTACAACTAATTACATATTTTTTTTAAAAAAGGATTATACACCATGACCAAGTGGAATTTATTCCTGTGTGCCAGGATGGTTTAACAATGCAAGAATCAATAACTACTCCACAGTAACAAAATGAAGGGGGGGGGGTGATCTCCTTAATTGATGTAGACAAGGCATTTAACGCAATTCAATACTCTCTCATGTTAAAAAACACTCAACAGACTAGAAATAGAAGGAAACTACCTTAACATAATGAAAGCCATATACTTTCTCTTTTCAATTCATTACATTTTGGGGGCACTGAGGATCGAGCCCAGGGGCACTGTACCACCAAGATCACCCTGGGTTTACATTCCCATCCCTTTTTATTTTGATATAGGGTCTGGCTAAATTGCTGAGGCTAGTCTTGAACTTGTGATCCTCCTGCCTCAGTCTTCCAAGCAGCTGGGATTAGGTGTGTCACTGTGCCTGGCTGCCCATATAAATTTTTTTTAATTTTTTTTATTTTTTACTTTTTGGCAGACACAACATCTTTGTTTGTATGTGGTGCTGAGGATTGAACCCGGGCCGCACGCATGCCAGGAGAGAGCGCTACCGCTTGAGCCACATCCCCAGCCCCCATATAATTTTGTAAAGCTCATAGCTAACAAAATATTCAATGGTGAAGATTATTCCAAGTCTTTCCTCTAAAATTAGAAACAAGAAAAGGATGTCCACTTTCTCCAATGCTATTGAATGTATTAAGGAAAGTATTAATCAGAGAAATTAGCAAGGAAAATTAAAGTAATTCAAATAGGAAAAAAGAATTATCTCTGTTTGCAGGCAAAATCTTATATATAGAAAACCCTAAAGATTCTGCAAAAATCCTCTTAGAGCTGAGTACAGTAATGCACACTTGTAATCCCAGCTACTCAGGAGTCTGAGGTTGGGAGGATCACAGGTTTGAGGCCAGCCCAGGAAGCCTAGCGAGACTGTGTCTCAAAATAAAAATAAATAAAGAGGGCTGAGAACGTAGCTCAGCAGTAGGTAGTTCAACCCCCCAGTACCATTAAAAAAAAAAAAAAAATTCTATTAGAACTAATAAGTTTAGCAAAGCTGCAGGATGCAAAATCAAATCAATACACAAAACCCAGTTGTTTAAAAAAATCAGTTATTTTAATAATGAGCATTATTAAATATTTTTAAAATTTTAAAAAAATATTTTTTAAAAATTTCAGTTACACTAACATCAAAAAGAATAAAATACTTAGTAATAAACTTAACCAAATAGCTAAAAGACATACACTGAAAACTACAAAGCACTGCTGAAAGAAATTAAAGACACAAATAAACAGAGAGACATCTCATGTTTATGGTTCAGAAGACTTAATATCATTAAGATGTCAATACTAGTCAAAGTGATCTATAGGTTTAATGCAATTCCTTCCCAAATCTCAACAATTTTTGCAGAAACAAAAAATCTATCCTCAAATTTATATGAAATCTCAAGGGTCCCTGAATAATCAAATCATTCTGAAAACAAAATGAAAGTCTCATACTTCCTGACTTCAAAACTTACTAAGGGGCTGGGGTGGTGGCTCAGTGGCAGAATGCTCGCCTAGCATGTGCAAGGCCATGGTTTCGATCCTCAGCACCACATATAAATAAAGGTATTGTGTGCAGCTACAACTAAAAAATAAATATATTTTTTTAAAAAACTTACTATAAAGTTTCAACAATGAAAACAGTGTAGTTCTAACATAAGTACAGACATACAAACTATATGTCTTAATATAGTTTATATATAGACTATATTCTGTGGATTCAGATTAACAGTGGAACCAGAAACAGACCCCCATATACATGGTCAAATGAGTTTCTTTCTTTTTTTTTTTTTTTTTTATTTGAAAGTATTTAAAACAGTACATTTATTTAAACTGTCAATTGTCATAATTCGTTGACTCTTATCCAGGTCAATAGCTTCATTTCATACCATATTGAATATATTTACTGGTTTTACATAAAACTTCATATAAAACTAAGAATTAAAAGTACAACTAAGAGAAAATACAGAAATTTTCCATATACTTCCTGCCCTTATATACACATATCAGTATCCTGAATCAGTATGGTACATGTTACAATTCTCAGTGTAGTTTTAATTTTTATCTGCTTAATTTTCATCTTCTTTATTGACATTTTTATATCTCTTAGGTGAGGGGTTCAGAATTTGGGACCATTTTGTTTTTTGGTTATTTTCTCATTTGAATCTTGAGGATTTTTAAAATTTTTTCTGGATATAAATCTTGGTCAAAATGTGATTTGCAAATATTTTCTCTTAGTCCGTGGCTTCTTTTTTCATTACCTTTTGCTGAACAAAAGTATTTAATTTTAATAAAGTCCAATGTATGTTTTTAAAAAGCACAGCTAAGAACAGAGTTGGGATCTGTGTGTGAGGATTCACCATCACACAATCCAGTCCCTAATGTGGTTGTTTATTTTTTTTCTATTGCATGGGCCTCTCAACCTTCAATTTGCTTTCTTTTTAGAGAAAATGAAGCCTCTCCTCTGATCTCTCTCCCAACACACGTCTGGCCACCATGTTAATGTTTTGTGTTGATCCAGTGGTACCTGTCCACCCGGTGCACAGCAGCAGGCTGCCTATAACACTTAAAATTCTTATGCAAGACATGATGCACATTCCCTGGGAGGCCTATGCGCCCATCCATCACATTCTTTTTGCGGGGGATGTGGAACCAAGATTGAAAGGGCTGTCTTAAGTTTTCCATCTGATAGATACTCTTCGGATTGCTGACTTTAGGAATGATCCGGGGTTCCTTGCTACAACTTTCTTCATCAGAAGAAGTGCCAGAGGAGTAGTCTAATGTGGCTTTATTAACAGCATAACTGATTTGTTGGGACAGTTCCCATTCCTCCCATCTGCCCTTAAAAGAAGCAATTATAAATGGATGGTTTTTCTCACCATACCTACAGCACACTTCAAAGGGATCTACCCATAGGGTCAGCTCCTTTGGAAGTCCCAGGTGAGAAAAATTCACATTACTCTCAGCACAAGCCCTTTCTAAAATGGGGTCTTTATTCTGATTGTTTATCCTGATACACCTGAAGGCTTGCCCTTTGGAAGGGCAACCAGGGTGCCAGTGACCTCTGTATGTTTCAAACAAGATTATCATCAGCTTTTCTGCAAATTTTTCTATTTGCTGTTTACTCAGTTTTTCATGTTCCTTCACCAATCTTGTGACAAAGAAAACTGCTACTGCAATTTCATCTCTCATGATTCCAAAACAACCTATGAGGAGACCTGAAACCACAGAAAAATCTCTTTAGTCCCCACAAAATTAGACCAGAGTTTAAAGACCAACTATGCTATACACTTCTTGCTGCCAGATCTCACTCACACCTTCAAATGATTTGCAACAAGAGAGCCAAGATCAGTCAGGCACGGTGGCACATGCCTGTAACACCAGCAGCTTGGGAGGCTGAGGCAGGAGGATCACAAGTTCAAACAGCCTCGGCAAAAAGCGAGGCATTAAGCAATTCAGTGAGACCCTGTCTCTAAATAAAATACAAGAAAGGGCTGGGGATGTGGCTCACAATGGTTGTTAAGCGCCCGAGTTCAATCCCTGGTACCCTTGTGCCAAAAAAAAAAAAAAGAATGCCAAGATCATTCAAAGGAGAAAGGAAATTTTTTCAGCTCAGAAAATTGGATATCCATATGCAAAAGAAAAAAGATGGACTCTTACAAAAATAAGATATTCAGGAGGCTAAAGCAGGAGAATCCCAAGTTTGAGGCCTGTGTGAGCAACTGAGCCAGACCCTCAGACTTTAAAAATTATATATATATATAAAAGCAGAGGCTGGTAATATAACTCAATGGTAGAGCAACTTGCCTAGCAAGCACAAGGGCCTGGGTTCAGTCCCCAGGGCTGAGGAAAAGAACTAATCCCACAGAATGAGAGAAAATATCTGCAAATCATTATCTGATAAGGGAGACAGGGAAGGGCAGGAGGCAGAAAGAGGAATGTAAGTACAGGAGTAGGGGAATCAGATATTACTGCATGTATGAAGTTGACAGACTGGGAAAAATTTTCATCTTACTTTTTGAAGTTAAAAATCACAAGTAAAACTAAAATGAAGTTTTATATATATGTGTGTGTGTGTGTATATATATATATATATATATATATATATATATATATATATATATATATATATATGTATTTCAAATTGTCTTTGAGAAAAATTATAAAGAAATCATACAGCATAGAGAACAAAGGAAATGGAAAGAAACATACAAGCAAAAAATATAAAAATAGACACATAAAAGACTGGAAATTTCTGTTTTAAAAAAATAAAACCTAGATGGGATGAAAATTATTATTAAAAGACATACAAGGACTAGATTTAAAAACAAAATTTGGACTGGAGTGTGGCTCAGTGGTAGAGCACTTGCCTAGCATGTGTGAGGCCCTGGGTTTGATCCTCAGCACCACATAAAGATACATAATACAAAAGATCCATTGACAACTAAAAAATATATATATTAAGGAAAAAAAGCAAAATTCAACTATGTGTCATTTGTAATAGACAACTCTAAAATAAAACATCTCAGAAAGTCTGAAGATTATAAACAAGGCAAAGACAAACTAAAGCAAATAGAAACAAAAAGAAAGCAGAGCTCATGATATTTAATACCCAAGATGAACTGAGATAAAAATCATTCAATGGGGCCATGGCAATACTTAATAAAAATGCTATTTAAATATTAATAGAGCAAGAAGGAAAAACATGAAGGTTTTCCAAGGTGGCTTCCAAGAAGCCAACACAGTCATGATACCACAACCCAGCAAAGATATTCACTTATGGTATCTCAATAAAAAAAAATCTAAATAAGATTAACAAATATCTAGCAGTACATTTATACACATACACACACAGAGTAAACATGCAAGGTTTGTTCTTAAAATGCAAGAATGGAGTCATACTCGAAATGTTATTTATGATTTATCAAGTTAGTAGGTGAGTGGAAATAAAAATAACAAATTAATCTTGATAGATGCTGAAAAGGCACTTAATAAATTTGGTAATAATTTTTATTTTTTAAAAATTATCTAAGTGCTCACTTTGATAGTAGAATAAATAAATAAATCTTACCTAACATAATAGTGCCTTATTTCTGCCTCTGGAGTTACTACATAACCCAGGAACTACAGAGAAAAAGAGTCTCAGCTGGAAACAGAGGCACACAGTTCTCCAGAGCTGAACTGAAGGGACAGCAATTTGATAAGGCTTCACTACCCCGGAAGGGGGCCAGACATTCCAGGCCTTGCCTCTGGAGCCAAGCGTGGGGAGAAACTGCCTTCTAGGGGAGCAGTGTGACCATGGGCACAGGCGGCTAAGCTCACTCGTCCACACTGCTAATCAACTATCCAGAGGGCCATTCTCCAAGAGTTTTGTCCCAACTTGCCCTGGACAGTCCTGGTTTATGTTGTCCCAGATTAATTAGGAAAGCTCTCCCTTCAGTCATGAAAAAGTGTTCATCTGCAGCAACACAGATGACCCTGGAGGGCATCATGTTAAGTGAAATACACCAGGCAATGAAATACAAACAACGTATGACGACTTCTGTGTGTGGAATCTATGAAAGCTGAACTTAGTGAAGGAGAGCGGACTGGTAGCTGCCAGGGCAGGAGGTGGGGGAAATAGGGGATGTTGGTCAAAGGGTACACACTGTCAATAGATGAGTCAGTTCTGGGGATCTAATACACAGCATGGTGAATATACAGCTACTAACAATGTGCTGTGTAATTGAAATTTGCTAACAGTAAATCTTAAGTGTTCTCAGCACAGTAAGAAAAAGTAGTAACTATGTGTAGCAGTTTAGACATGGTGTCCCCCAAAAGCTCATGTGACACAATACAAGGTTTGGAGGAGAAATGATTGGGTTATATCTTTAACCTAATCCCTGATAGGGATTAACTGAATGGCAACTGAAGTGGTGGGTGTGGCTGGGAGGAGGTGGGACACTGGGGGCGTGGCTTTGGGGTATCTATTTTTCTCTGGCAAGTGGTCTCTCTCTCTGCTTTCTGATCACCATGTGAGCTGCTTCCCTCTACCATACTTTTGTTCCACCTGACCTCAAGCTTCCAGGAATGGAGCCGCCATCTATAGACTAAGACCTCTGAAACTGTGGACCTTCAAATCAACTTTTCCTCCTCTACAACTGTTCTGGTTGGGTCTTTTGGTCACAGCAGTGAAAAAGCTGACTAGAACATTATGTGAGGTGATGGATATACTACCTAGGTATCAAATCCTCATATTGCAATTCTACTAGAGAACTCAACTGCTGAAAAATAATATATCATCACAGTATTCTTGATAAGGGTCAAAACTTATTCCAATGTCACATTTAAGATTTGTACATTTCTCTAAATATAAACTTTATCCAATAATTATAATCTAATTTTGAACTGTACTTATTGATATGAATACTGAAGTATTTAGGACTGAAGTGTACTAATGTTTGCAACTTTGAAATGGCATCAGAAAGACTAAGATGGGTTGATGGATGGTAGGTAGACACGTGATAAAGCAAACTGCAGCATAACGCTAATGCTGGAATTCAGAGAGTATGTTCACGACATTTGTTTCAACTTTTCTGTATGTTTGAAAATTTCACATAAGATGTTCAAAACACATAAGCATCATAAGTTATAATTTAGTTCCCTTTTTTTCCCTTTGTAGTACTGGTTATTGAACCCAGGGCTTTACACATACTACCCAAGAGCTATACAACTGAGCTATACCCCTCACCCTTTTTTAAATTTATTTATTTTTTAGTACTGAGAATTTAACTCAGGGGTGCTTTACCACTGAGCTATATCCTCGGCCCTTTTAATTTTTTTTTTTTATTTGAGATAGGGTCTCACTAAGTTGCTGAGGCTGGCCTCAAACTTGTGATCCCCCTGCCTCACCTCTTGAGACATGTGCCATGGTGCGTAGCTACTTCCAGTCTTTTTTTTTTTTTAAGAGAGAGAGAGAGAGAGAGAGAGAGAGAAAGAGAGAGAGAGAGAGAGAATTTTTTAATATTTATTTTTTAGTTTTCAGCGGACACAACATCTTTGTTTGTATGTGGTCTGAGGATCGAACCCGGGCCGCACGCATGCCAGGCGAGCGCACTACCGCTTGAGCCACATCCCCAGCCCCATACTTCCAGTCTTATAATATGATCAACATCAAGACATTTTCAAGACTGAAGACTCAGACAGTCTTACCTTTATAAAGAAATGTGCCGACACAAGAAAGAGCCATACTCACCCACAGACTGAGAAGTGAATGCTGCTACAATCTGGGGACTGGCCAGGGCCTCCAGTCTGTTCTTCAAGGCCTCTAAGTGCACACATTTTTCTGAGTAGTCTGGTGTATCCACAAGCATTGTCAAGCTGTTCTGCATGCCGGTTAGCTTGGCAGAAATCACAGTGATGTCCTGTAAAAAAATGAGAATAGAGGGTATTTATTTTAAGACTCCAGCTACCTCAATTGGGATTGAATAAAATATAGGAAAAGGCAACTCTTAATATAATAAAATGGCCAATAAACATTATGTTCAACATTATTGGTACTCAAATAACTGCAAATTAAAACAAGAATGTGCCATTTTCCTCTAAAAAAACTGGGAAAGTATTTTTAAAAATTATGATACCTATTGTTTGGTGAAGATGCAAAAAAAAAAAAAAAAGACTCTCTGGTGTCATACATGTCTGCTGACTTACTCCAACAGCAACGTGACAAGAGTCTTAAAAATACTCACATCATTTAACTTGGTATTTTCTCTTCCAGAAATGATTATTTCTTTAAGGGATATAGAGATATTGCTGTATTATAATTAATGTGATTGTAGTGTTAAAATAACAAAGCCTAGAAGCAACATAAATCTTTTATTATAACAAATAAAATATAAATTATGGGTCACTCATAATGGTATGTGGAATACTGTACAGCCACCCAAAATTATGTTTTTGAAATGTACTAAATAAAGGTATTGTGTCCAGCTACAACTAAAAAATAAATATTAAAAAAAAATTTACAACTTACTATTAAATGAAATGAACACTATAAAAAAGTATATAGACACGAGTCCCAATTTTGTTTCATATACATCAATGTAATATATGTAATACATACATGTATATTAGTTATACACAGGTATAACTAAATGTACACAGTCATGACATCTGCATACATACAAAATACATACCTAAGTAAAAAAGTGTACAAACATGTATAAAAAATACCTAATAGGGGCTGGGGCTATAGCTCAGTGGTAGAGCGCTTGCATAGTATGGGTGAGGCACTGGGTTTGATCCTCAGACCACACATAAATAAATAAATGAATAAATAAAATAAAGTTATAAAAATTATTTTTAAAAAATCCTTTACAGACTTAAAAAGTATATTACTGTGGTCTAGAAATATGGAACATTTTCTTTTCTTCCTTGTGTATTGAATTTCTCAAATCTTGTAAGATACACATAAATGAGTTTTTTAATTAGAAAAATAATTAATTAAGAAAGTACTATGTGATAGTATTCCAGCACTCAATGAGCTAGGATGTATCAAACACTGTATCAGACATCTGAGACTCCCAGATGAGTAAGGTCACATTACAAAGATGTGCTCACAACTCGGTGGGATAGAAAGATTCTGATGCAACTTCAGAACAACGGCTCACGTGTTACAGGAGCAAACAGTTTTGCCTTGGAGAGTCAAGGAGCCATCGGGCAGAGCTGTGAAGGGTGGTGCTCTGACTGGACCTAGAGGGACGAGCGGAGGTCCACTCTGATGCAAAGAAAAGCAGAAGGACAGTTCAGGCAGAGAACTGAAGAGCGGAAGGAGATGGCACGTTGGTCTGGAACAGTCACAGCGTGGACAGACATGGAGAGGGCAGCCAGGGAAACGCTGAAAGGCAGGCCCCAACCTGTCCTGAAATAGGCTGCCCTGTTCAGGGCTCAGAATCTATCCAGAAGAGAATGGGAAATCACTGAAAGTTAAAATGCAGGGGAGGGGAGGGAGACAAGGAAATGGCAGGTGCCAATTTATGCTTTAGGATATCTCGTGGTCGCATGTGGAAGATAAATTAGTGTGGCAAAGAGACCAATGGACAGCTGTCGTAATGGTCCAGGAACAAATGATTAAAAGCATGACTAGAATCCCAGCAGAGATAAAAAGAACAGATATAACTGAACAGGAAAGAAGGAGCAGTTAAGGCTTCTGGCGTTTCTAGGTTAAATGCTTGGATGCAAAATGGCCCCATTAACCAGGATGGGGGAACACAAGAAAGAGTGATGGTTTATGGCTTTGGATAAAAATAAACAATTCAGCATGGTGGTGCACCCCTGTAATCCCAACTACTCAGGGGACTAAGGCAGGAAGATCCTAAGTTCAAGGTCAGCCTGGTAACTTAAAAAGACCATGTCTCAAAATAAAAAATAAAAAGGGCTGGAGATGTAACTCCATGGTAGAGCACTGGCCTAGCATGCACGAGGCCCTGGGGTCTATGCCTAATTCTGAAAAAAAAATAAAAATAAAAACAGAATTCAGTTTTTGAAATGCCAAATGCTAAGGAGAGTCCAGCTGGTCTTGTGGGCAGTTAGTTTCAAGTATCAGGAGAGTAAAGGGCAGAAAAACAAGATGTATTTAAACTACTAATTGACATTAGTAGTTAAAATAGTAAACCACTAATGTCAATTATTACAACCAGAAACCTTATTTATTTATTTATTGTAGTCCTTGGGGACTGAGCCCCATGCACGTTAGGCAAGCACTCTACCACTCAGCCACATTTCCAGGCCTTTTTTTTCCTTTTGAGACAGGGTCTAAGTTGTCCAGCTGGTCTCACACTTGCCATCCCCCTGGTCAGCCTCCAAGTAGCTGAACTGCAGCTGTGCGCACCATCCCTGGCGTGGGCATGCTGGCTGAGGCTTCTCCTCCACTCACTCTCCGTGACCAAGAGGCAAGGTGTGCAAAGTGTGTGGGGAGGGGAGAACTGAGAGCAGTTTCAGATTTTCCCTACAGGACGTCTGAACATTTCTGTCTGCCGCGAATGACATCCCTGGAGGTTGGGGATATTCTGATGAGAGGCTATCACATTTGCTTTCCCCAAATCTCAAGTTCCCGCCTAAATGAATTTCCAACATCTCCTAAATAAGACGCCTACTTGAGTCTTAAATGTCTCCTCAATATCGGCGCTCAGCGTGCTCCACTTGTCCGCTTCTTGAAGAGATTCAGCAGCAAGCTGCATCCTGGACTTCACCTGGTCGATTTCCACCAATACCTGAAAGGAAATGAAGCAAAATAAAGCAGGGATTCCTTTTCCTCTATCTTCCCCCAGTGACCTGAAGCATGAGTCTCGTGGCATGCTCCTTCTTCGGGTAGTTTCTGTACCCCAAAGCATCAGTCACCTAGTCGATTTTGCTCAGCGTGCTGGAGAGATACGTAAGAGGAAAGGACGAAGCTGGAAGGTGACTAGATGATGGCTAGAATTCTGAGTTCAGGCTGGCTTTTGGCAATGCTGTGCTGTCCAACACCCCCTGTGAGAGTGAACCCCTTCCAAAAACCAGAATCCCCACATAGGGCAGGAGCCGAAATACCTGCATCGACTGCGATGTGTCCTGTTCAAATTTTTTAATGTCTTCCTTGACAAGAATCATTTGTTCTTTTAGAAAAGATGCCTCCTGTTTAAGAGCTTCAACATCACGGAGCACTTTGGGCATGTTCTGAAGGGCCTGGTGACTTGTTTCTGTAGCACAAATCAAGGAAAGCAACAGGCACAAAAGGTAAAAATTGGAGCAATCACCAGTGAAAACTTTGAAATATGAGAGACAACAGAGAGAAAACGGCCTGAAGCAGTACAAATCACACAGCTTTTAGAGCCTGCGCCAAGTGTCAGGCAGGAGACAGGATGGGTGGGGAGGAGGACTTGGTAAGGTCCATGTCCTCCTCCTGCCTCAGTGTCCTAAGTATCTTGGATTACAGGCATGTGCCATCACGCCCAGTAACTTTTGGCAATTCTTAGGATAAGTAACACTTTCCTAGGTACCATGGCTGCCATATTGCAGACCCTGAAAACAAAGTGAGTCACATACTGAATCCAGGTATTTTTAAGTTTGAGGGATTATGAAGGTCAAGGGTGACCCTAGTTGACAAGCGGAGTCCATGGCAACCAGGGTCACAGGAGATAAATAGTGGGGAGTCTCCAGTTAATCCAGTGGTTCTCAAACCTGAACCTGTTTCAGAATTACCCAGTTTCTCACTCAGTAGGTGTAGGGTAGGCCTGAGATCTGCATTCCTAATCCATCTTCAAACAACAATGCTGGCCCCAGGACCACACATAAGAACCATTAGCCTGCTCCTTCTGCTCCCCTTGTCAGACTGAGAAGGCAAACTGTACCCCTAGAACTATGGCACCAGAGTCTAGGTGGCCACTCTGTGGTCTACACAGGGGCGTGCCAAGAAGGAGCACATGACCAGTTTCTTCAGAAAGTCCTTTCAAAAATGGTGTCCTCCATGACCAGGGGATGGTGCTTTAACACTTAAATAATTGTATGACATAGTCAAAAGTATGATGATAAAGTAGCAATGCTGATTCATGGTCATTCCAAAATGTAGTCCACCGAGCACCAGTGTCAAAGGATATGGTTAAAATGCAGGTCTCGGAGCCACCAGCCAGAGATTTTTATTTAGAAGGTTTGGTTTGAGATCAAGGAACCTGTGTTTTATAATGAATATTCCAAGTATAGAATACAATTTGAAAATCTTTGCAGACTAAGATGTGTTATCTGGATTGGGAGGTCACCAGCAGAACCCTTTAGCCCTTGAAGAGCAATTCACGGGGGAATCAAGCAAAGGAGTCTACAGTCTCCTGCTCCACCTGTGCACTGAATGGAACCTTAACATTCTGATGACGTACTGTAGAAACCTGCTCATTCAACTCTGCCACAAAATAGCAATACTGACCCAAGTACAGGTCCAAGGCTGAGGGACCAGGGTCAGAACATGTAAAGGTTTCTTCAACTGACTCAACAGGGCTGACATGGCCCCAGTCACGTCTCCCATTGGCTAAATCTCAGTCACTCATCAGGTCCTGGCTGACCCCCGGTGAACCTCTTTTTCCCTCTCCTTAGCATCCCCCAATTTAGCTGATTCCTATATCTATCTTAAAAATATTTCTGACAGATGGTAGCGCACACCTGTCCCAGATACTTGGAAGGCTGAGGCAGGAAGAATACAAGTTTGAGGCCAGCCTCAACAACTTGAAGCTCTAAGCAAATTAGTGAGACTGTCTCAAAGCAAAATAAAAAAGGTCTGGGGATGTGGCTCAGTGGTTAAGTGTCCCTGGGTACAATTCCTTGTACCAAAAACAAAAACAACAACAACAACAAAGAAAAAACTCTGTCTTTGGGGGAAGTGCTGGGGAGTGATATTGGGTAAATCATATTCTTATATGTGTGCATGTACAAATGTAAAACAATTCCATCATTATGTATAACTATAATGTGCCAATAAAATATGTGGAAAGAGGAAAAAAACTCTCTCTTCCAGTGGTTGCCTCCCTCTTGAAGGGTCAGGGCATTTTCAGGAGTGACAGCAACATTTTATGTTTTGGGATCAGTTTAAGTTATAGTAGTTGAATACACTTGCCAAAACTTGGCAGACTCGTCGGATAAGAGCCATGCATCTCACCTATGTAAATTTTAGCTAAAAGAAAACGGTAAATAAATATTGAACTCTACTGTTTCGTGTTCCAACTGAAATTTCAAAAAATGAAACATACCAATATATATACCTACAACTGATTTTGAAATACACCAAAAAAAAAAAGTTAGATGGATCAATGAATAGAGGGAATGGATCAATGGACAGATTGGTGGTGAAGCAGGAACAGTAAAATGTTAATTGTATAATCTAGATGGTGAGTTTATGGATGTCCACTTCACCATGGCTTAGTTCAAGAATCTGCTATAATCCTTCATTTTCTCTCCCTCTTATCCCCCATTCCAATCCATCAGCAAATTCTCCCCTTTCTTGCTCCTAAAAATATCCTGAAGTTCCTACTTCTCATGTTTACTGCCATTACCCAAGTTGGAGCCTCATTATCATCTCTCTTTCACAATCATGAACATTCAGTGGAAGGACCCAGCAATGTTTTTGTTTGTTGTTTGGTACCAGATTGAACCCAGGGGTGCTTAACCACTGATCCACATCCCCAGGTTTTTAATTTTTTTTTTTTTAATTTTGAGTCAGGGTCTCGATAATTTTGCTTAGGACCTTGCTAAGTGACTGAGCCTGGCTTTGAATTTGCAATCCTCCTGCCTCAGCCTCCCAAGCCACTGGAATTACAGGTGTGTGCCACCATGCCCAGCTGTTCAGGGGCTCTTTATCAGTGAGCTTCCTCCCCACAATTAAAAAGGCTCTCACAAATTTCCAAATATTCCCAAAGATGAGGGCAAAGTGGAAGAAAAGGTTTTGTAGTCCACTTTCCCACTTCCTTAACACATATAAAGTACTTAGAACGTCATGTGATATACCAAGTCCTCAAAGTGTCTGTTATTATACTATTATTCATGTCCTCCCTTTGCCCGACGAAGTTCTCATTCAAGGCCTACTGCAGGGAAAGCCCTTTATGATTCTCCCAGACAAGAGATAACTGCACTTTTCTGGCAGCTCTCAGGGCTCCAGGTTCTAGTCTCCTTAAAGCCACCCTTCATTAAAATTTAACTATTTACATATTTTCCCCACAGGCAGCAAGCTGCAGAGAGTTGACTTTTCCTCCCCAGGACCCATTTCTTGATACAAGACAGGAGATGCTCCCTAATTACTAAAAAAAAATGCAAAGTACAATAAAGAATCTGCACTGAAAGAAAACCTCTAGTTCCCTCTAGTTCCTTTCCTTAAACAATGAGCTTATCTATAAAACAAAGTTCTATTTACTATTCGGTTTCAGCGGAAGCGATTTGTTTGCTTTTTCCAACAAAGCCTAGCAGAGGGCTGGTGTGCAGAACTTACTGAATCAACACAGAGCAAAATAAAGTCAAACAGAGGAAGTATTTGACGTGGCTACTGATGGATATTATTTTTTATAACTAACTATCCCTTAAAAAATGGTTGAAGTTTCCATTCTGGCCAGCCTATCTTCCCCCATTAACATAAAGATCCATTGAAATATTATTTCATCCCGGCAGCTCTGGAGGCTGAGGCAGGAGGATAGTGAGTTCAATGCCAGCCTCAGCATATTAGCGAGACCCTAAGCAACTCGGTAAGACCCTGTCTCTAAATAAAACACACACAAAAAAAGGGCTGGGGGTGTGGTTCAGCGGTTAGGCGCCCTTGGGTTCAATACCAGGTACCCCCAACAGCCCCCTAAAAAAAAAAGAAAACTAATGTGCAAAATTTGCAAGTGTTAAAGACAGTGCAGCACCAGGCTGAGGCTTCCTCCTGGATGCAGTCGGGTCTGCAGGGCTATTTACTGCCCAATCCGGGCACGGCCAGGGCACAGCCGGGCTCAGGGGAGGGGCCGGGGGGCCCTGCGGCACTTTCTACAAATTCCACTAATCCCAACTGATCCCAGAGGCAGATCTGAACTTACTGCTCTGACTTCTTGCTGGCTGACCTCACAATAAGCCTCATTCTTTTTGCAAAAACCAATGCCGTAGTATTGGCCTCTATGTGCCTATGTAGCGAGCCTTTGGGCTGGCATCATTAGGAACACCCTCCAGTGCCCGAGGGATAAGATTGCCTCTCTGCTCCCAAGATTCCAACAGTTGGTGTGTTGGGACAAAGGAGATTAAGTGCTCAGGAAATTGTCCCCGCTCCTTGGCCCTCCTCAGAGCCCCACCTCTCCCACCAGGTTCTGGTCAGGTTCTGAATTTGCCAGACACTGGGAGAATGGGAAGAGAGAAAAATCCCTTCCATCAGGTCTGTAGCTTCCAGAGCTTTCCTCTCCAGCCTGGGAATCTGTATGTGCAATGGTAGCTTCCACTGACACTCTGGGCTGTGAAGGCCTGGGGAACACTGGGACAGAGAGGACTAGGATGCTAGGCAAGAGGGTTGGGGCAGATGTCCTATTTTCATGGGTCAGAATCAGTCAAAAGGAACCAGGATCCAGACCTAGGCATTTTGAGGTGATGCCAAGGCAGGAGCTGATCAAAATTCTGCTTAGGGAAGTCCTGAGGCTAGGGGTTGCTCTGTCAGGACTTGTGTTCTGAGTCCCCATGGGTTCCTTGTAGCTGTAGGCTCTTGGATTCCTGCAGGAGCACTAGACATTGTGATGTGTAGTCTAATTTTAGGAGCCAGAGAAGACAATTGAATTCAATTTCTGGGTGCATAGGTGCAGCCTAAATCCTTTCCCAGACCTAATAGTACTCCCCTAGTTCAGAGACATGAAGACTCTGAGTACATAGGACCGACTGTGGACACGGCTGCAAGGGTCTGCGTGAGGACACGGAATTGTCACTCTGAGTACAAGAAAGCTGTGCTCCAGATGATGGTGCATATGTCCTTAGCTTGAAACTTGTCACAGCTGCCCTATGTGACAGCTTTGGAACACACAGACAGCTCCAGCACACCTGAACTAGACCTCCTGCAGTTTGGTCCCCCATTGGTTGAACCATGACTGTTTGAAAAGCAGTTCTTCTTTCTATTATAGGTGTGGGAAATTATTTCAGGTAATGCAGCAGCTGCTGGGCTGCATACCCCATTGTGAGGAAAAAGGGTCTAAAATAGTTCCTTTCCCCTACAAAT